ATTCTGGCACAAGTTAATGGCCTCAATGAAAAAAAACTGTTTAAATTATTCCCACACCTCTGTGTGATCTCTCAGTTGGACAGAGCTTTGAGCAGTGGCTTCATTGCAGGTGACCAATTTAACTTTATTACCCTATATTCTTGGTTCTTTCGGTAAAGTCACGTAGAAGGGAAACAATACAATAATAAAAATATAAAACAATAAAATTCTCACGACGTTTCGACTGCAACACAAGCAATCATCATCAGGTGTGAAAACCACAGCAATATTTTTTTCTTCAAATTTTCATGCTGTGGTTTTCACACCTGATGATGATTGCTTGTGTTGCAGTCGAAACATCGTGATAATTTTATTGCTTTATATTTTTATTATTTTATTGTTTCCCTTCTACGTGACTTTACCGAAAGAACCAAGAATATGAATCCCTGCAGTCACGAAAGCTTTAAATCAAAATGTATTGCCCTACTTTAAAAATATGTTATTAAAGACTCCAAAGATGTGTCAATAACACCATGGCCTGGAAAGGAAAGGTAATACAGTCTGTTCTCCGATAGTGTGTGTTTTCATGACGCAATTGGATATAACGCAATGAATGCATTAGGGAACACTTTTTTTATAACGTGGGTGTGAATTGGATATAACGCGATTGAGTGAATAGAACTACGTCGGGTGAGAAGGAATAAGCGGTTGTGCGGCTGCCTTGGCGTAGCATCACACAAGGTGGGATGCTGCTGGATGCTTCTAGATGCTACCCACGTGCCTCAATATTTGTTCAGCCTGCATACGCATCGCACGTGTTATCTGCGGACTGTGCTTTACCCTGCATTATGTTTTATTTACAACATAATTTTTCCAAAACGTGGAGTTCTTTAGGAACGCAACTACCACGTTATAGGAGAATAGACTGTAGGTGATGTTTCTTATTAATAGCACGTACATTTCATAATTAAATTAAATCCTAGCAAATAATATAATGGGCTAATTATATACAGGCGACGTTTTAGGCCACTGCCTGATTCATTGCCCATTATGCATGTATATTTTTCATTTTAAATCAGTGATATAGACAAATTTGTTGAGTTTTATTTGTTATTTGCGCTTGTGCCTAACTGCCAACTCAGCATCATCAAATTGTTTACTTTGGAAATTGTTTACTTTAAAAGTTGTTTACTTTGAATCACTTAAAAAAAGTGTACTATCAAAATGATTTAATTTGAAAATTATTAACGTTTAAAATTGTTTACTTTCAAAGTGTATTACTTTAAAAATTATTCACTTTGAAAATTGTTTACTTTCTAAAAAAAATACTTTCTACATTATTTACTTTCAAAATTATTAACTTTAAAAATAATTAACTTTCAAAATAGTTTACGTTCAAAATAGTTTACTACCAAAATTATTTAATCAAAAAAATATTCACGTTCAAAATTGTTGGCTTAAACAAAAATTGTACTTTCAAATTTATTAACTTCAAAAAATGTTTACTTAAATTTTTTTTACCTTTCTAAATTATTTACATTCGAAATTGTTTACTTAAAAATTTTTTATCTGCAAAATTATTTACTTTAAAAATTATTCACTTTCAAAATAGTTTAATTTCAATATTCGTGTCTCAGAACCTTTGTCTCAGGTGAACAGAGAGGAGAAAATTGTCTGTTACAAAGCGCCGTGTGGGTGTTTTAATTATTTAACACTGCAACGTATTTGCAATGTGTAAAGATGTGACGTTATTAACATCCCATGTAAATAATCGCACGCGCCTAAGAGCAAATCATCCGGCTATGCATCCCAACTCGTCAGACCTCAGAAGCTAAGCAGGTTTGAGCCTGTAGAGTGCTTGTTGTTGTTATGAGCGGCCCCCCCATGCGTACAAGTCGTCCGCTGCTGCGAGGCTGCGTTGTGCGCAGCAGAGAGCAGTGCGGCAAAATTCGACTGTACTATTAGGCTCCCTTATCTTTGCTCTCCATCCCATACCATCACTATAATATATACACAGAGTAGGCAATAAGCCTCCTTCACGTATCTGCCCCTCTACTTAAAAAAAAAATCATTTTTTTCACACATCCCATTGGTCGCACAAACTTCTAGGAGGGCATAATTTCAGCGGCATTTGGTCAGTACAAGAAAACTCTGCAATGATTTCCACATTGAGTCTGCAGCTTTGTTGAAACAATGCTGGTGAACTGCCAGATGTATATAGGCACCCTATGGCATGGAGAGGCCCTCATCTTGTAGTGGATTGCCAAAGGGGCTGTACATTTAAATTTGTGTGAGAATGTTTATTTATATATATTAGGTTGTGAGTTCACACCCTGATCATACTTCCATTCCTCTAGGGCCAATATAATTAGTTTTCCACTTCGTGGAAAGTCAAGTGGTCATCCTATGGAGAAAGCCACCCTGCACCACAGGAATGTGGAATTACCATCATTAACTCAGGCTCGCCAATGGAGAGTCCCAGTAAACATAAAACGTTGGGTCAAACGGTTCCAAGCTCCTGCCAACGTTCGCATGTTCACTTGGGTAGCGCTGCCCAATATTCACCTGAGTAGAGACACCTTGACTTTAACTTGACACTTTATTAATGTATCTGCTGTATTTCCTGTTACCCTGCATGTACACTTCCATTCACGCCTCTTACTGTAATGAGTAGGCGTAGTGGCACGGGACAGATTACAAAAGCAAATCCCAAACCTGCCTGTGACTACAAACATCATTGTCAATGACGTATGAGCACATAACTCTTGCAGTATATCGACAAAAGTCCCCAGTATAGCCTTCACGGACTTCTGGGGCAAGTGCTGTTAGCGAGCCACCTATGAAGGTGCACGGCACACAAACGGGGGTTGGGTGGCCAGCACCAAGCCCGGCCGCCTTTGTCTCCCCAAGTGGCGATGTTTGCACACCGAACTGGGCACTGATTTGAGGCTGAGTCGACTCCTACGTGCATGTGTGTATAATGTTTACAGAAACACGGAGAGTGAGAAAGAGAGAGGTGAGAGCGAGCCTCGTGGTTCTGAATTCCCGTACGATCACATGCACCCCCCGTAAATACACGAGCTATTGATAGCAACACGTGGCGGGTGGGGTGGCTGTGTGCCATGCAATGGGGGTGCGGTTGCCACACCGCTTGCCATTGGTTGCAGAGGATGCTAACGTGAGGTGTCAAAAGCAGAGTTTTCCCCAGCTGCTATCTCACTGGAAAATAGATGACATCTGCCAAGGTTCCTAAGTTACCGACATCATCCACTCGCCCGCCAATCCTCAGTGGCTTCTTGGAGAGTGGCAATCCGAGAGGTTATCTCTCCGATTGTCACGGTTGGCTATGTACGGTGCGAAAGAAGTTCAATATACATACTGTACATCTCAAGTGAGTGTGATATTACATTTTTCTACTATTTTGTTTGCACCGGGCAAGGCCCACTGAGCTCTACAGCTTTTTTTAAGAAGCGACCTGGTCTCAAATTATATCTCAACAAAGTGGCTTATCATGTGGAAATTTATAGCAGGAAAATAATCCAAAATACATGTTTCTAACGTGGAGGGAAAATCCTGAGGATCCGGTCGAAAAATCCACGCAACCGCAGGGAGATCATGCAAACTCCAACTATACAGCAGGCGTCATGGTCAGGATTGGGATCAAACCCACGACCTCCTGCATACCAGGCGAGGGAGTTAACATCTCGCCACTGCGGCACCCTCATTTGTGCATGTAAAGCCCATTTGACCATCCACTACTGGATGAGAGGCCTCCCCACGGCGTCCGTGTTATTGGGGTTTATTTGACCATACTTCACTGGAATGGAAAGTTCAGGCTGGTAAAGGCAGGAAGCACAGGTGTTGGAGCATATTACGGTACACCAATTGATGTTGGTGCACTGCTATCTGCTGCAACATAGCGCCACAGGAGCCTCCAGCAGATGTGTTATCCACGATGGTATTATCTTGGCGCAGCCCCGTTGAGCTTCTGAGATCTGATGAGTTCGGGCACATTCAGGGTGATCTTGTCTCTGTATTAGTAATTCCAAATACATTGACCATGGAATGCAGATGTGTTGTTGTGGCAGAGTGCTATACTCAACATCAACAGGTTACCATTCAATTCCTGCTCGGGTTAACATTTATTTATTTTTAATTACAAAGTCCTATTGAAATCTCAAAACTTTCTTTTTTCCAGAAAGTCCTGCTTCTTCCGATGTTTGGTTAATATTTTTAGTTAATGTTATTCATTGGAGGATTTCCAACAATAGGAGAGGCTAGCACTTAAATTCCACACAAAGAGGTCAGCAATCAGATTGCTGTATCCTTCCCCACATGCACTTCTTTATCTAGGAATGTGGCTGTCACACACATATCATGGTTCCCATCAGCACGCGATCCACCAACTCCCCCCACAGGTAACTCACTGCATTTATAGCGGTGTGCAAACTCATCCGGTCGATCCAAACAGTGTGGTTTATTTTGGCTCTCAAGGCAAGTGAAAGATTTGCTATGCTGTATTTGGATGCTTGCGGTTGTTTGTTTCTCTGCATTCTATTCTGGTCTCTTACAATGTTTGTTTCGTAGCCAATACAATGATCCGTACGGTATTTGTTTTCGGGTCAAGCCAAATACTTATTTCCCTCATTAAAATGCAAATCAATTTATAACATTTTTGACATGCGTTTTTCTGGATTTTGTTGTTGTTATTCTGTCTCTTACTGTTCAAATAAACCTACCATTAAAATTATAGACTGATCATTTCTTTGTCAGTGGGCAAACGTACAAAAGCAGCAGGGGATCAAATACTTTTTTTCCCTCACTGTATGTCAACTCTTTTTGATTACACACGTTTAATAGTGCTGTCCATTGCTGGCTGCTTGGCGTTTTTGTACATTTGGGCCTGTGCTTGGCAAGTGTGATTTTAAATAAACCTAACTGAGCGAACGGTTCGGAAGCCGCGCGTGAGTGTGCCGTGCATATTAACCCCGCGTGACGTTGGCCCTCTCCCCCGTGCCCAGATCAACTTCGACCAGCCGGCCGAGGCAATACACAACTGGATACGTGGGCACGACAAAGTCCCCGGGGCCTGGACCCTCATCGATGGACAAGTGAGTTTCACGGTGGCTTCTTGGGCGTCAAGGTGTCATGCCCTGGCTTGCCAGGAGAAGTCAGGACTCCACTTGTTCTGTCCGTATGTGTGGGTTTTTTTTTTCCCCGGTGCTCTGGATTATCCCCACATGTAAAAACGTATTAATTGGTCGATAGCACCATAATATATAGAGGGCCGCAGAGCTTTGGGCATTTCCAACTCATCATGTGGTTGCCTGCCTTACAAGTTGAATTCATTATACAGGGTGTTTGAAAAAGATGGACCCAACTTCAAAGCAGTATATTTCACGATGGCAACATGTTACAATTACACAAAAAGTTACAAACGGTTTAATGAGTTATCAAGTTTTACTAACCATTTTTATAAATGCTCTATGTGCCCTCCACCTGCTGTACGGACATCGAGACGATAGTTGAATTCGTCCCAAACGCCTCTCAAAGTGTCTTCTTCCACTCAAGTCACGGCTGACATGATTCTGTTTTTGAGGTCATCCAGATTAGTCGCTAATGGTGGCACAAAAACACCGTCTTTGACGTATCCCCACAAGAAAAATTCGCAGGGTGTGGTGATGTCTGGGGATCTTGGGGGCCAAGAGTGTAGCGCCAAGTCTTGGGGTCCCGTGTGATCCATGCAATGTTGAGGCAGTGTTGCCTTGCGAATGACTGAGGCTAGGGGCATGGTTTCCAAGCAGTGTGATCGTGAAACGAGAGCGCCACGGTGTAGAACATGCAACCACAGCCCAACAATGGTGATTCCTTTTTGGGTAACAACTAATTTCAGTATCCCTATGTGGTTGAATAAAAAGGTACCAGTTAGACAGGATGGGGACAGTGGTCACCCTAATGACTGGCCCCTTCTGTCTCAATTTCCCATGACTGGTCTAACGACGAGGTCGTTCGACCAGACAAGGTCATTGGCAGCTGTGGTCGTGAGCTCCTTCTACCTTTCCTGTCCTCACCCTCATGGAGGAGCTGGTTGTGGTGTAAGCCTCTCATGTCTGTGGTGTTCTGAATCCAAGTCCTCCTTCATGGGTGCCCTTTCTCTTTGTAGAGTCCCCTCAATGGTGCCGTGAAAGGTTGGCCCTGTGTAGGCTTCTGAATCTATTGATGAAGCCAACTCGTTACAGTTCTCTTCACCTAATGGTGTCTAGGAGTTGTTCTGTCTGTCCCGATCATGTGATATTTGTGCCCCATACATCATATTTCGGATTGTATTTGATATCCATACAAAACACTGATATCACTAACACTTTTAGGAATCCAATCTTTGTTGGTATATTAATAACATCGCTTTTCAATACGCCATCCACACCTGTCAGGAAGCCTGTTGCTGTTACAACAATCCTGCGCCAATTACACTTCGCATCATTGGTGATAATTGATTCACGGTATTTTAAGGAGCTGGTCCGGTATAGCTTTCGATGATTGAAGGCTTGGCTGCCCTTTTTCGACTTGACAGAGGTTAACGCTGTTTGGGTCATCGCTGGCGAATGTCGGCACGGTGGTGGGGCAGCCTCTGGAGATTCCCGGTGCCACCCAGCCAGGCACCATAACCAAGAGCGGCCTCCTCCTGCACGGAAATGATGGCAAGACGGTGAGATGCCAGCTCTGAGAGTTCCGATATCCATTTGACTATCACACGACGAACATTACTGCCACGTGCGGGAGCGGGTGAGGCAAGCGCTGACCTCTACCACGTGGACCAGAGGTCACCTGAAGAAGAGACCTCCCAGAGCAGCTGTGATATCCGCTTCCGTGGACCGTTCTCGAACACAAATAGTTGCACTGCTCTGCGAGAGATCTGAGTGGATTTATTAATCTAGCATTGAGTCGTTATATGTTCCATAGTCTGGGTGACCACAGATTTTAAAATGTTCCATTTGTGCATCAAGCATCTGCATCTGCCATGTTTTGTGCCGATGCGGTTTAGGCACTAGACAGACAAAGGCAGCCGAGATAAGCAAGCGAATGAACGGGGATCTTTGTGTGTGTGTGTGTGTGCGTGTGTTCGCGCCTCCAGCTTCTGGTAAGGAACCTACAGTTTGAAGACGGGAAAATGATTCCGGCCTCCAAATATTTCTCGTCGGGAGATGAGGGAAGCGTGGAGCTCACGGACGACGAAAAGGCCTTTGCGGAGGAGGTTCGGGTAAGGAGCTCCGGCACAAGCGTTACGCGTTGCGTACCGGACTCCCCGTGTCGTTGGCCACCAGCAGAGAGAGGCCCTGCCAAAAATCAGAGGGACGTCCCGGCCATCTAAAAGTAAAATTAATCCATGTGGCACATCAAACTTTCAAAAGTATACGTGTGCGCAGAGTAAAAAGCGTTTCAAGCTAAATATTAACTCTTCTTCTTCCTCCTCACCATTAACCGTCGCTTATCCACCGGTGGATGAAGGCCTGTTCATGAAGTCGCCATTTCTCATGGTCCTGCAATGGCACCATTTTAGACATGCTTACCGTGGGGTGTTGTTTGATCGTACCTTACTTCACCGTTACGTTTGACCATACTCTACAATTCTAGACAGTGAGGTTTGCTCTTATTCAGCCAGAGTAAAAAAAGTCAGCTGGGCTTAGTCCGATTGCGAGAAAAAAACCCAGCTGTTAATGCAGCCTTGTTAGGTGCTCACACGTGTTCCATACAGGTCTTTCCTGCTCATCGTGTGCACGTGTGTACTTTCTTGACAGGCGATATGGATGAGCATTCTCAGTAACGTGCCTGTCGTGGAAGACTCGACTGACTTTTTCAAGTCCGGAGCTGCGTCCATGGATGTAGTGAGGTGCAGTTTTGAAATCGCATACGTTGCCCTTCCGTTGTGAGCGATCGTATTAAATAGAATGATTAATTTTGATTTGAAGCTTTCATGACTGCAGGAATCCATACTCTTTGGTTCTTTCGGTAAAGTATGTTGGTAAAAAATAAAATAATATATCACGACGTTTCAATCGCAATACAAGCCCATCACCACATAAATAAGCTCTCGTTGTAACAGCTCTCTCGCTGGTTGAGCAGTTTCGCTGATGGATTACATATATATTTATTTGATTTTTCTACCTACGTGACTTTACCGAAAGAACTAAAGAGTATAGAGTTATTAATTTGATATCCTTCTTATTGATACTGATGGATGTTGCAGGACATTGCGGGAGCCCCTACGACGCTGGGTAAATTAAGCCATGTGGGACTTTAGTGCATTCAAGGCTACGAGTCTACATCACAGTGACTATGTATCTTTGTGGGAGGTTGACTGGTTGACTGCATTTGAGGGTCGCTAAGTATTTGTATGACTCCTTGTCTGTGTGTCAACGTGCCTATGTGTCGGTGTGTCTGAGTGCCCGTTAATCTGCGTGTAAGTAATACTGTGTCTGTTACAGTGACTGTGTATCTGTGTGTAAGTATTACTGTGTCTGTTACAGTGACCGTGTATCTGCATATGAGTATTACTGTGTCTGTTACAGTGACTGTGTATGTAGCGAACGGTGGTGTGGCGGTTAGCGCGCTGGGCTATGAGTCTGGTGACACGAGTTCGATTCCCGCTCATGGTCAACACCGGTGACGAATATCTCAACCGGTCCTGGGCCTTCTCTAGGTCGACTCAACCTCAAATTATTCCCCGGTGTGGTGTGTAAACATCGCCACTTGAGAGACAAAGGCGGCCGGGTGTGGTGCTGGCCATCCACCCCCTCGTATGCCGTGCCAGCCTTCATAGGTGCTCGCCAACAGCACTTGCTCCTAGCAGTCTGTTAAGGCTATACAGGGGAACTTTGTCTTTGTGTGTCTGCGTGGGTGACTATGCATCTATTAGAGTCACCAAGCAGAATTAGAATCTCAGAATGAAAATCTTTATTTAAGCATCCATGTGTGAGGTGAGTCTGTTGCTACTGTGTGGTCGTGGCTGTAAGGGAGTGACTACGGGGTAACTTACCCTGCGGGTTGCCTATGTGAGGCTTATTCATAGTGATTGTATGTATGTTGAACTTATTTCACACCGTACGTAGCCAACTCTACTAATCGGAGGTGCAGGGAACGACAACAAACTAAAGACAAAAAGCAGGGTCTAAAGAAATTAGTTTTTAATGTAGGTTTTAAAAATGGCATAGCTCCAGTGGCTTCCTAATATCGGAAGGAAGAGCGGCCATTCCAGACGGCCGCAGATGCGCATCTGAAAGCGCGCGATTGGGTGAACGGGCGGATGCGGCTGTGAATACTCACCGGCTGCTGCTACTGCTGTGCTGTGTCCAGGCTGATTGAGGAGCTGAAGCAGAGGAGGGGGGACCTGCAACTGCAGACGGAGGACGTGTACATGGCCACTTCCTTCCGCGACTTCACCCACATGGTCGTGCGGCGGCTGCGTGGGGAGGACCGTGCCGAGGAGCTGGCCGTCGACCACGTGAGCCTCCCCACACCGCCCCCCACCGCCTAGACAAAGACACACGGACAGACACATGGACAAGCAGACAGATGGACAGACTGAAAGACAAGGCAAACAGATATGTTGATAGATAGAGAGACATATAAACTGAAGGATAGGTGGACTTAATGGAGCAACATTCTGACTGTCAGACATCATTCAGGCAGGCAAAGCATGCTGAGAGGTGGCCAGGAGATGGGTGGTACAAATAAAACATCCTTGAACCCATCTGTGCAGATGTTTGATTGCTTACAGTGTGCTTCTCCCATTCCTTCATTTTCATTCCCCATGAAAAACACTTGTTAAAATCGAATTGGCCAAATATCCCAATCCAATGCACTGAAGAAACATAGCCGAGATTGGATGGTGTTTTTCTGTATACATCATACACTTGATTATTTCAATAATATACATTCCCCGTGTTGGTCTTGAATGATGTTTTTGGTTTTCCCATAATACTTTGTGTGCTGAACTTCTCTCGTGCCATACGTGGCTAACCGTGCTAATCGTAGGTGCGCTGCTCCCTCCGTGGTTTTTGATTTCACAGGCTTGCTGAGATATTCCCACCTTTTGTTGAAGCCATTTTCAATTTGTAACTTATGGGGTTTACGCACATCACGTTCTTCTTTTAGGTCGTAAAAGAGGTGAACAACTTGACCGTGAGGATACCGCATCAGTGTTTCATCGATGGGAAGTTCGTTGACGCGGATACCAGCAAGACCTACGACACGGTCAACCCCACAGATGGATCGGTGAGCTCCCGTGCAGCGGAAGGCACACCGTCGTTTGATTAAGTCATTCACGGGTCAGATGATGGTGATGTCCCATTGACAACAATGCATGGTCTCAACCAACTGCTCCGCATTGTAAGACGGTGGGCCAAATAACTCTTGAACGCGTTATCACAAGTATTTGGGGGTGGAGCGGTGGTGCAGTGGTTGGCACACTGCACGGCTGACATGAATAGCGAGTGATACCTGAACCAATCCTGGGTTCCTCCCTTTGCCAACCCGCACTGATCAGTGCAGTGGAGTGTGATCTAACAAGCCCAACCGCTGACATTGCAATGTGGGGAGGGATTTATGCGTGAACAGATTGACAAAAGGCTAAACATGATTACTGCCCTTTCTTAATTAAACGATTGATAATAATAATAGAACATTTTCTCATCAGGACAATGGCATGAGCCAAAGAACATCACAACTGTCTTAAGTGTCAATTTTTAAGAATTTCGGGTCTCCCTTGCAAAATCTCTGCGCATCTCAATGTGTTCCCACCTGGTTCAAATAGAGAACATCATCCAGGAATTCATTTGAGCAGGGTATGGCGAATCACAAAAATGTCTGCACCGGGTACACCACATCCACCATACCTCTCACTATGACTGTGGCTACTATTCCCGTGCTTACTCCAGTCTACCAGTGACCACCTGGACAATATTCAGTGATACATTAAGCCCTGACTTTAATTACACACGATGGTTTGGCAATTGAACTCTTTATTGCTTCTTCTTCGTCTTTCGTACGGCCGATGTCGATGCAGAGCAACGACTACAAATTCACGTTCAGGTGGTCAAGCCAGATAACCGCGTAAGGAGCAGCGGAGTAGTGTATCATCGCCGTGATGTCTCCTTTGTGTCTGTGGATCGGGCCTTGTGTCATTACACATTGTACGGTCTGTTCTGGACAACCAGGGTCGCACACTACTACTCGAGAGATTTTCATTTTCCATTGCTTTGACACAGTGGGATTTGAACCGCGCACCCTGGAGCTAACCGTCCGCACGTAAATGCGCACACCAACAGGCTTCAAGTTGGGCGAACGCCGCTGCCGAGCCTGTCACTCTCCTCTCTCTCTCCTCTCTCTCCTCTCGCCGCCCCGCGCAGGTGATCTGCAAGGTGGCGTTCGCTTCCGTTGCCGACGTCGATGAGGCCGTTGCAGCCGCCAAGAGAGCGTTCGAGAGCGGAGAGTGGGGGCGCATGAACCCCCGTGACAGAGGGCGCCTCCTGTACAAGTGAATAGATGACACGCTCACAGGCGTTCGCGTGCAAACACACAAAGATAAAGACGGCCCCCCAACCCTATCCACCCCCCACCTCCCCATTTAGCCATTAAAAGACTGTTGGGCCAAGTGTTCTTCGCGAGCACCTATTATTAAGGCCGGCACGGCGCGCGATGGGGGAGTGAGGTGGCAGCACCATGCCCGGCTGCCTTCGTGTCTTGTTAATTCTGACGATAGGTACTCATTTAAGGCTGAGTTGACCTAGGGGAGGCCGAAGACCATTTCAGATGTACTCCATTGATGTTCGGTTTCCCAATCACCACACTATCACTCCCCACACAAATACACATACAAACCCATACATGCAAACACACACAAACAAACCCATACACAAGTCCAAACCCATACAAACACACACACTTACTAACCCATACATGCAAACAAATACACACACACATACAAACACACGTACAAACCCATACATACAAACAACAACAAAGATCCCCGTATAGCCTGAACAGACTGTTGGGGCAAGTGATGTTAGCGAGCACCTATGAAGGCTGGACATGAAGGCCGGAACGGTACACGAGGGGACGGGTGGCTAGACCTCTTCTCCCAAGTGCTGATGTTTTACATGCCGCACCAGTTACAAAATTTGAGGGTGAGTCGACCTAGAGGAGGCCCGGAACCGGTTTATATAATCGTCATTGGTATTGGCCGTGAACGGGAATCGAACCCCGTTCGCCATGTTTGTAGCGCGCATACAAACACACACACATACATACAAACCCATGCATACAAGCACACACACGTACAGACCTATACAACACCAGCCACGGTTGATCACAACGTGGCGTTGTCACCGTGACGCTCGTGCCAGGCTCGCCGACCTCATGGAGGAGCACCAGGAGGAGCTGGCCACCATCGAGACGCTCGACTCGGGGGCCGTGTACACGCTGGCACTCAAGACGCACGTGGGCATGTCCATACAGACCTTCCGATACTTCGCCGGCTGGTGCGACAAGATACACGTGAGAGGCGGTCGGGGCAGAGCGTGCGGCGGTTGGCGTGGCAAGCGTTCACGCCGTATCCCTCTCATCTCATCACAAACTAACTCACAGCAACCTCGTGAAAGACTCAACGCAGAAGATCCCTGGTTTTGATCGTTCCACGAAGCTCACGGTCCACCCTAAACCGCATCCGCGCAAACCATGGCAGAAGCAGATACCTGATTCGCAAATGGAATATTAAAAAGTCTCCAGTGGTGTGCGACTGTGGTCATCCGGAACAGACTGTACAGCATATGACAACGCGACGCCCAATCCACAAATACGAAAGAGACATCACGGCGACACACTCCGCTGCTCCTGACGCGGTTATCCGACTTGACCACCTCAATGTGAATTGCGGTTGTTGCTCTGCATCTACATCAGCCGTACGAAAGAAGCAGATCACATTGCCATTTGGGAGTAGTGCTTTACGTTGTGTAACACCCAAGGCCAGCGTTATCGGGGTAATGGGGTGGGCCCTGCAAGCACCGAATGTCCCTTTGGCACATACCTAGTAGTATATCACTGTTAAAAAAATGCGCGTGGAAATGTATTCAGGAGCTAAATGCAGATGCCGAGGTCTGCTCGCCACAAGAGGTCTTCGGGAGAGAGTTTGTGTAGTTTTACTATTCCTCCGCTAAAGGAGCACAGGCTACATATATCACTGTTATGGGGGGCCCCATTCAAGAGAAGCTGGAGCCAGGTCTGGTAACACCTATCACAATACACCATCTGTTATCAGATTCACTCTGCACCTCCCAAAGCTTAACATCTTAAATTTGTCGTTCCCTCCATATGACATCATCATCATCATCGCTCAGAACCAAAGCGGGAAGCCTTTTTAAAGTCAATCCACTCAAAAGATATTTTAGGGTCTTGAGGTCCAGTGACTCTAGTGATGTCCATGAGACACCAGCCAAGGGATTCCCCATTTACATCACACCGATGACCCTCATTGCCATTGTTGACAAATCGTGGAATTTCCATCGGTGTTTTTCCTGACACGAGCTTTGTATTCTGTGCAGGGCACTACCATTCCGATCAACCAAGCACGGCCTAATCGAAACCTCACCTTCACAAAGAGAGAACCAATAGGGTAAGTTGCAGGATGACGTCACACGTAATTATGTCATTGCCTTGGCCGTCTTATTAATTTAGCGCTGGTTATAGGCAAGTTTTTACCAATCTTTTGATAATTTAGTCCGTTTTTCTATGGAGTAAGTCCCAAATAGCAAGACAACTTAATTCTCAAATGTAATTTTGACTGGACCATAGAATAGTTATTGTAACCCCATGCTACAGACAGGACAAGCGGACAGAGCAAATGCATCATGGCTTTCAAACGTAGTTGCTCCAACAAAAATATAAACATTTGTTGGAAAAGCAAATGCAACCTTTTGGTAACCGCCTTTTGGTAAGTTGTCACGTGAACAAATGTGCCAGTGTACGGTGACCTGTGTGTCACAACTCTTTATCATTGCCAGTTGTGAAAAACAACAAGCGTTGGCCCCTTTGGACTGTAGGCCTCAGGAGAAAGTCATAGTTGTTTAGACAGTCGCCAGGCTGTTATCAGCAAGGGCAAACACAAGTGGCATGCCAAACCTGTGTGTATTCTTCTAGCTGAAAATGCCATCTCCTAAGAACACATGAGGTTCAATGCACTAAAACGTAGCATGACGTTGCAGTTTTTTTAAGGGATCTATGTATTTTATTTAAATACGCTTATTTGGCATTTACATTACTTTGCGTTGCAATTTTCAGGTGATATTTTGTTTACAATTTCATTTTCATATGCTTAGCTCTTTCGGTAAAGTCACGTTGAAGGGAAACAATAAAGTAATAAAATATATATAAAACAATAAAAATTCTCACGACGTTTCGACCAGAACACAAACGGTCATCATCAAATGTTTCTTGCCGTTGGTTTTCACACCTGATGATGACCGTTTGTGTTATGGTCGAAACGTCGTGAGAATTTTTATTGTTTTATATATATTTTATTGTTTCCCTTCAACGTGACTTTACCGAAAGAGCTAAGAATATGAATTACTGCAGTCACGAAAGCTTTAAATCAAAGTTTAATTTTCATTTCAACACATACATTTGAACCAATAAATGTGTCAACATTGCAGATTCAAGACCCTGTACAAATGTAAAGGCTTACACAAACATTGATCCTTGCTGTTCATCGGAATGACAGGTGTATACACCATGGGGGAAGGAGAGGGGAGTTCAATATGGGCCTGTTAATGGAGTGGCACTCCATGGGGAATATTTCGTTGTTCTTAAGTGATAGAATATCAACCCAGCTCATGAGCAAGAGTCAGATAGAATGTGGTATCACGGGACCAAGTGTTGATGTTCAACGTGTCAGAACTCTTTCATTCAGCAGCCGGTAACACAAGGCTACTGATGAGGTACTGTATAACTTTGAATCCATGCCACGCTTCAGGATACATCGTGAGCTGTGGCGAGGCCGAGCGGTGGCGTCTACGCCGCTTGTGTTGTTGAGGTTCACGGTTCAAGCCCGCGGCCGCCACCCTGGTTAATATCATGGGTGTATTGACCAAAAATATGTGCGCCGTCTGCATTACAGCGGACGTTAAATGTCCTGTGACGTTATTAAAAAAAATTGTAAACCATATGTGCCGGCATCTCGTTCCAAAAATGTTCCAGTGTCGAAAATGGTTCACAAATTTCATTCTTTGGAAAACCACGGAGCAACGTCGCCGTCTTGATAGCCAGTGTGCTATTGTAATTCCACCAATAACAAATGTGCTCATTATTATTACTATTATTGTTGCCTTATATGCCATGTGTGGGTTCCCAGCGTCTGTGGCATCGTCATTCCTTGGAACTACCCCCTCATGATGCTGGCGTGGAAGAGTGCGGCGTGCCTGGCGGCTGGGAACACCCTGGTGCTCAAGCCTGCTCAGGTACAGTCCCGACTGCAGTGCGATCCCCATGAGCATGGTTGGCTACGTATGGTGCGAAAGAAGTACTCCATAATAGAGGTTTTTTTGGGTTCAATCGTGTAAATATAATGTGTCGTTAAACCCGCCACCACCCGATACAGCCAATTAGTAGCGTTTGTAACGTAAACAAAACATGCCAGTTCGTTATTACTTCAGCACACCGGTGTGTTGGAGAGTAAACCCACAACATTTACAATTCGAGTACCACGTTTCGCCAGTAATTACAACCAGCATCATCAGGCGGACAGCCAGAACTGTGGAGCTAAAAAATAACAAGTTCTCTGCCTATAGTGAAACGGATTTAAGAAGCATGCTGAGGCATATGTGAGAAAGGTAAATGTGCTGGCAGAAGGGCAGCCACTATGAGGTCGCACTTGTTACACACAAAGTCCTTGCCACAAATGAACCACGATACCTTGCTGATCTCGTCAAGGAGCATAAACCGTCACGTGACCTCCGATTGTCCTCGCAGCGGCTTTTGGCTATCCATCGAACTAAAACGGTCACAGTATTGCGCGCTTTCAAATGCGTTTTCTGCAGCCATCTGAAATGTTCTTCCATCCGAAATTTGGTAGCCACTGGAGCTATTCACTTTTAAATCTAGATTGAAAACTCATATCTTTAGAACTGCTTTTTGTGTTGAGTGTTTTGTCCATCCCCCACACCTCCGATTTGCACGGTTGGCTGCGTACTGTGCGAAAGCAGGTCAACGTATACAACCTAAACTAAATCGAGCTGTCGAGGCCCCCTATTGAGAGAATATTATGGCCCCCTCTTTCATATCGGCCAGACATGTTGGAAGAGGTGGGAGCACCCATGCTTTGCCCCACGACACGCGAACTGCGAATCAACTGTGGTCGACTCATTTACGCTGTTGAGTGGACAGAGGTGGAGGGAATTTGAGAAACATCCCCCCATTGTTCCAACTTCTGCTGTGGGAGATCGATCTGGTGACCTTTTCGTTGCAAGTACAGCGTGCCAAGCCATACAGAGTCATAGTAATTATTGTGATTTATTTACCCGATAAAGCATCAATGGAACCCAACATTAATTTTCAATTATGGCCGTGTTTTCGGGTTGTTGCATTTGGGAAAAAAATATTTGAGTGCCCAAAAAGCAAACTACGTACATTGCGGGTTAACAACAGTAGCCAGTGATATCTATAACAGGTCTCGGGCAACACCTCCCTTTACCCACCCACACTGATTCCAGGCCAAGCATAACATCGGCGGCGAGTGATATCTGAACCAATCCTGGGTGCCCCCCACCTTCGCCTACACACACTGACCAGGATAGGGTGAAGTATGGTCAAACAGACCCCTGTAATTGACACGGCATGGGAAGGCCTTTATCCCAGCAGTCATTAACAAAGAGCTCTCCATATTTTTTGTTTGTTTTTATAATCAAGTTAATCACAAGTGACATTCGGTATAATACATATGGGCGTGACTGGGCTAAGATGATCGAACCCGCATAATCAGGTTTGCCTGCATGCGAATGTACGTGGCCTGCACGTTGGATGCTCAATGTGTTATTTTATTTGAACGTACTGGCGGTACACCGGTGGTGCGCAGTATTAAGAAAAAAGAGCAAAATTTTCACAATAAATGTATATTTCAATACGATTCCCAACCCCCGGTCAGAAACTCTAGTGGGGTGATGTCGAAGCAGTCGGAAGACTAATGTCAGTTCAAATTAAGATTTTAGACTTTTATGAGGACCGGTGTGTTATGCTGCACCGGTGTACCACCAATACGTCCATTTAAACGGGCATTGGGTCAGTGCATGTGGATGTTGCGTCCTAATAAGAATGGCTGTTTTTGCCCCCTTGCAGGTGACCCCGCTGACTGCGCTCAAGTTCGCCGAGCTCGCGGCTAAAGCTGGATTTCCAAAGGGCGTCATTAACATCATCCCTGGCTCAGGTAGCTCAAGCACAGGATCTCACGTCTGATAATACCACGGGCGTGCAGGCGCGTCTGGTACTGGAAAACAGATTAAGGTGCACCCATCTAGAGAGCGAGTGAGAATGCGTGGAGTGGAGGTATGTTGCAGCTTCCGTGTGTGTGTGTACGTGCGTTTGTAGGGAATGGAAGTGTAGCGGTTAGCGTGCTGTCCTACAGACCCATCGACCTCAGTTCGATTCCTGCTCAAGGCCAACACCAGTGACGATTATCTGAACTGGTCCTGAGGCTCCCCTAGGTCGACTCAGCCTCAAATGAGTAGCTGGTGTAGTGTAAAATTATTGCCACTCAGGAGACAAAAGCAGTCGGGTGTGGTGCTGGCCACCCACCCCCTCGTGTACCATGCTGGCCTTCATAGGTGCTCATTAACAGCAATTTCCCCAAAAGTTTTTAAGGCAATACGGGGGATATTGGACTTTGTATGGAGGTGAGGAGCGGGAGTCTAGTGCACTGCACCACAAACCCAGCAGGCTAAGTTTGATTCCTGGCTATGGCTACAATCAGTGGTGATTATTTGAACAAATCCTGGGCCTCCCCTAAGTCGACTCAACCTTGCATGAGTACCTGGCAAAAATGTGTAAACATCAGCAATGGGGATACTAAGGCTGGTCACACCACCCCCCGTGTGCCGTGTCAGCCTTCACAGGTTCCCGCTAACTGCACTCGCCCCAAAAGCCTGTGTAGGCTCCACGGGGGATCTACGTCTATTTACGGTGCCTGTCATTTGCCTGCTTGTGTAGGCTCCATAGTCGGTCAGAGGATGTCCGAGCACCCACACATCCGTAAGCTCGGATTCACCGGCTCTACGCCCATCGGAAAGCAGATCATGAAGAGGTGAGCGTTCGTTCCTGCCCGTGTCGACCAGCTGCGAAACGGCGGGCACGTGAAGCAGCGCGAAGCAAAACGTGCAGCTGGGTGTTTCACTGGGAGCGGTGTATTGTTAAGCAAGCACACTGGACTTGACGTCCAGAGGTTGTCAGTTCAACCTTCCTGCATTCACTGGGTTAAGGCCATTAACCAAACTGGGTTATGGCCATTGAAGCCAGCTATTCAGATTGTCATGGACCGGGCTTAACAGAAGGGTTCTTGATGATAGGCGTCTTGGCACCGTATTGATTTGTGTGCCACCCCTGTTACATGCGCAAATGGCCATAGACGGCCTTACACATTGTTGAGGACTGTCCCTCACGAGGGCAAGAAGGTGGAATGAGAAGGATGAATGCACAGATTTCGATTTAAAGCTTTCGTGACTGCAAAGATTCATCTTCTTGGTTATTTCGGTAAAGTCACGTAGAATGAGAATAAAATAATATAATAAAATAAAATAAGACAATAAAAATTATCACGACGTTTCGGCCACAACAATGAAGCACTGTCGTCCCGACAGATCTGTTCTTTCACCTGAAGAAGGCTACTTGTGTTGTGGCCGAAACGTCGTGAGAATTTTTATTGTCTTATTTTATTATATTATTTTATTCTCATTCTACGTGACTTTACCGAAAGAACCAAGAAGATGAATGCACTGCATTAAGTGGCAATATAGACTGCTGACAGCGTATTCAGCAAGCACCACTCACTTGGAACTTCAGCATAGACACCACTTTGCACACAAGCGGCTTGTCACGCAACCCTGCAGTCAGGTTCATAAGGTCACTCGATTGTTCTTTTTGTTTTTTTGCCTTGCTGGGTCTCAAGACACTTTTCTCAGAAGTGTCTTGCAAAGTTTGTGTTTTTTCCCCCTGCAGTAGGGGGTGATGTTGCTTTTGTGTGTAACCCCAGTTGAGTAATGTGCGTAGTTATATCTCAGCACTGAGTTGTTTGTCCAATACTGGTTACATTGTGTGTGTGTGTTGTTTGTGCTTTTTGCCTCGTTTGTGTTCATTCCCGCACTCAGCTGTGCCACGAGCAACCTCAAGAAGGTGTCTCTAGAACTCGGTGGAAAATCACCGCTCATCATTTTCAACGACTGCGACATCGACAAGGCGGTGAGGATGGTACGTATGCAAAGTTATAATTTTTTTACCTTGATTCTTGCCAGCGTTGCGTTTTTAAACCACGCGGCAGGCGTGGCGCTAGCGTTGCACACGCTGCCCCTGCCCTCGGACTAAGCGAAACAATCGCTGCTGCGAGAGAAATGGTTTGTTCGGTCAAATTGTCTCAGGTAATGCGCCCAAAGTTGTTGACAACGGCCGTGAAGCTGCTGTGCCCCAACATCGTAAGGGGTGTGTGTCCGCGTTTAATGACTGGAGCATAACACCGCACCATTAACCTCACGGAGCCCATGCTGGTCTGCGCATCTGTTTAAACGCCATGCCGATGTGTTCATTAGCCTTAATTAAGCCTGACTCGGCTGGAGAAAATAAGCGATTCATTATTTTTTGTTACACTGGATTTTATCCGAATGAGACATTATCTCACTGCTAAGGATCACATATAGGGACAGATTTTATTTTTATGTTTAAGTTATGGGTATCTTTCCATGACACTTACAAACAGTGGCATAAATACAACGCTACGGTCAAAATAGGTCCAATGCCTCAGGTGTAGGGAATCATACATCGTAAATATACAGTATATGAATACCCATGCTTATGCTGTAAAATAGGTTGAACATAGTCAAACACACGCAAATAAATACAGCTGCTAAACATTTCCATGGATTAAATTTCATTTCTCGTTTTGAAATGAAATTGTAGGTCACCGTATCTTACTGGGGTAAGGACAACCCGTACCGATACAATCAATGTTTATTCATTTCATGGTGAAAATTAATGTGCCAATACATGGCAGAGACTCCCTAGACAAAGATATATTTAGAGGCCAGATGTTCATGAAGCTAGGTTTCACTGTGGCCAAAGCGCTCTTTTCTACAACTATAGGGATTGCGAGTTTAAACATGTGAATGTATGTCTAACTTCTTTCGCGCCGTACGTAGCCAAGCGTGCTAATCGGAGGTGCCGGGGAAGGACAACAAACTAAACTGGAAAACATTTTCTAAAGAAATGGGTTTTCAAGCAGAAGCATATCTAAATTCTGATTGGCAGTCAGCTCAGCCTACCATCTCTCCGGATTGATAACATTTGTAGTACTGGCTCAGGTCCTGCAATAGGGATAAAATCAGCCCCTTGTACAGTTGGTAACGGACACACTTGGACTATGACCTGGCTATCGTACATATTGTAAATTCGATCTGTGATGCAAAGCCATCCATTAGATTAGAATTATACTTTTCATTAACATTTTGATTTAAAGCTTTCGTGACTGCAGGGATTCATATTCTTGGTTCTTTCGGTAAAGTCACGTCGAAGGGAAACAATAAAATAATAAATTGTTTCCCTTCTACGTCACTTTACCGAAAGAACCAAGAATAGAATTATACTCTTTGGTTTTTTCGTTAAAGTCACGTAGGTAAAATAAAATAAATGAAAACAACTAAATTAAATCACGACGTTTTGTCATTAATTTTGCTGTGTCTGTTCCACCTGAAGATGGAAGCTTGTGTTGCCTCCGAAACCTCGTGATTTCATTTAGTTGTTTTCATTTATTTTATTTTACCTACGTCACTTTACCGAAAAAAACAAAGAGTATGAATCCTTGCAGTCACGAAAGCTTCAAATCTAAAATTAGAATTAATTCCACAAAATAACTCTTCTACTGTAGATACTCATGTAGACTCTGGGTAAGCGGGATTGATCATAAAGAGTTTGAGGTGTTATAAATGAGAATACGTACATACATACTTTATAGTGGTTATCATTCGAGTGATGTGATTGAATGGAAATATTATAATGTACGCAAGTGATGTAGATGCAATGGTGGGGTGATGGTGGCATTAAACAGGACTGTTCATGATGACCTCTTGACCTTGGCACAGATACAAAGAAAAAGATCCTCTATATACCCTTAAAGAGACTGTTGGTGTAAGTGTTATTATTGAACATCTTTGAAGGTCAGCACGTGAGGGGGTGGGTGGCCAACACCAAATTCAGCCGACTGTCTCCCCACCAGGTACTCATTTAAGGCTAAGTCGACTGAGGGGAGGCCCAGGACCGATACACATATTCGATGTTGCTGGTCATGAGTGGGAATCGATATCAGGTTGCGGGTTTATAGCGCAGTGTGATAACCACTGCACCACCGCTCCCCCAATAGATATAGACACACAAAAACAAAGATCCCCCGTATAGCCTGAACAGACTGTTGGGGAAAGTGCTGTTATGCGAGCACCTATGAAGGCCGGAAACGGCACACGAGGGGGTGGGTGGCCAGCCCTGTGCCCGGTCGCCTTTGTCTCCCTAGTGGCAATGTTTACACATGGCACCAGTTACTAATTTGACGTTGAGTTGACCCCATTAGACACACACACAAACGCACGTTCATACATGCGACGCATATGCACCACACCCATAACCGTGTCTGCGTGTGTGTCCTCCTTGGTGTGAAGGGCATGAGCGCAGTGTTCTTTAACAAAGGCGAGAACTGCATTGCGGCGGGGAGGCTGTTTGTGGAGGAATCCATCCATGACGAATACGTGCGGAGAGTGGTGAGTCGCTTGTCTCGGGGAGGGCCCCGCGTGTCTGGGTGTGCGCGTCGGCATCCCTGCGGTCTCATGAAGCCGGGTCAATTTTCTCGAAAGGACTGGACAGTTAGGTTCTTGAAAGAAAAAAAAATATGCCGAATCAGGTGACTTGGTTATTCTGACTTCCTTGATCAACTCTTACTTTCTGGATTTTATTCTGACTTCCTGGATTTTTCTACAAGACGCTTTATGTAGTTCCAAGCGAAACGTCGCATCTGATCACTTCATTTGGTTGTGAGGATTGTTCCCTAACTTACTGGTGAGCTGAAACAATGTCCATTAACGCAGCGAACGCTCCTAGCACAGTACATTTAATAATTTAATTTGTACTCTTTGGTTCTTTCGGCAAAGTCACGTGGTTAGAAATAAAATAAAATAAAACAAATCACGACGTTTCGATCGCAAAACAAACGCTAACCACGTGACTTACCGAAAGAACCAAAGAGTATGGATTCCTGCAGTCACGAAAGCTTCAAATCAAAATTTAATTTGTTTTGCTATGTCGGGTGGTGGAGGGTCTTAAGACATACATTTGACCCGATTGTTACGTGCCCTATCCAAAAAATGTATTGTGAATCATGCTGTTTGAAAGTTGTTAACCTGAGTTGAATTCCTGTCTATGCTCAAGGCCAGTGTGCAGGCAGTAGCTGAAACATTATTGTAAATAATTATAACATAATCTCTGTATTCAACAAATTTTCCAGAATGTCCAAAACTGGCTCAGGGCTACCAACAGAAATGAGCATTGCCACGTTATTTGTTTGAGCAGTCAGACTTTGACGTGTTTTAACTGGTCGTAGTTAAGTCAACTACAGCTACGAAACTACAATTGTTAAATACTTTTTGCCATGAGGTTTATCTGCTCTCCATTATGACTGAGTTGAGGACGTTAAAAACCTTAGTGTACAGTCCCGGTCAGTGGAGGTATTTCCACCCCCGCCCCCCGCATCTCCGATTAGCACGGTTGGCTACGTACGATGTGAAAGAAGTTGAATATACATACCTGCAAAATCTTGACTTAAAGCTTTCGTGACTGCAGGAATTCACATTCTTGGGTCTTTCGGTAAAGTCACGTAGATAGGTTCAAAGAAAATAACAAAAAACTACGACGTTTCGATGGCAACGCAAGCGGTCGTTTTCAGGAAAAGGGGGGTTAGCTTCCAAGGCAAACTGTTTATAAAGGTTTGAAATGGGCATAGCCCAAATGTCAGTAGCCAATGATAATCATGATATTCCCATCCTACCACCTTCCGATGTTAGTTGTGCTTTACGCCCATTTCAAACTTGCGCTGTCACAGTCACTTCACGCTGACCCCTTGGTTGTGGCTCTGCGATCTCCCATTAACATGCTCATCTCCCATTAACATGCTCATCTCCCATTAACATGCTCATCTCCCATTAACTTGCTAATCTCTCTTTAACATGCTAATCTCTCTTTAACATGCTAATCTCTCTTTAACATGATAATCTCTCTTTAACATGCTAATCTCCCATTAACATGCTAATCTCGCTTTAACATGCTCATCTCTCTTTAACATGCTCATCTCGCTTTAACATGCTAATCTCTCTTTAACATGCTAATCTCTCTTTAACATGCTAATCTCTCTTTAACATGCTCATCTCTCTTTAACATGCTAATCTCTCTTTAACATGCTAATCTCTCTTTAACATGCTAATCTCTCTTTAACATGCTCATCTCGCTTTAACATGCTAATCTCTCTTTAACATGCTAATCTCCCATTAACATGCTAATCTCTCTTTAACATGCTAATCTCTCTTTAACATGATAATCTCTCTTTAACATGATAATCTCTCTTTAACATGCTAATCTCTCTTTAACATGCTCATCTCCCATTAACATGCTCATCTCTCTTTAACATGCTCATCTCTCTTTAACATGCTAATCTCCCATTAACATGCTCATCTCTCTTTAACATGCTCATCTCGCTTTAACATGCTAATCTCTCTTTAACATGCTCATCTCGCTTTAACATGCTAATCTCCCATTAACATGCTCATCTCTCTTTAACATGCTCATCTCCCATTAACATGCTCATCTCTCTTTAACATGCTCATCTCTCTTTAACATGCTAATCTCCCATTAACATGCTCATCTCTCTTTAACATGCTCATCTCGCTTTAACATGCTAATCTCTCTTTAACATGCTCATCTCGCTTTAACATGCTAATCTCCCATTAACATGCTCATCTCGCTTTAACATGCTAATCTCGCTTTAACATGCTAATCTCTCTTTAACATGCGAATCTCGCTTTAACATGCTAATCTCCCATTAACATGCTCATCTCTCTTTAACATGCTAATCTCCCATTAACATGCTAATCTCTCTTTAACATGCTAATCTCGCTTTAACATGCTAATCTCTCTTTAACATGCTAATCTCTCTTTAACATGCTCATCTCCCATTAACATGCTAATCTCCCATTAACATGCTCATCTCTCTTTAACATGCTAATCTCTCTTTAACATGCTAATCTCGCTTTAACATGCTAATCTCTCTTTAACATGCTAATCTCTCTTTAACATGCTAATCTCGCTTTAACATGATAATCTCTCTTTAACATGCTCATCTCCCATTAACATGCTAATCTCCCATTAACATGCTCATATCTCTTTAACATGCTAATCTCTCTTTAACATGCTAATCTCTCTTTAACATGCTAATCTCGCTTTAACATGCTAATCTCTCTTTAACATGCTCATCTCTCTTTAACATGCTAATCTCCCATTAACATGCTCATCTCTTTTTAACATGCTAATCTCTCTTTAACATGCTAATCTCCCATTAACATGCTAATCTCGCTTTAACATGCTAATCTCTCTTTAACATGCTAATCTCTCTTTAACATGCTAATCTCGCTTTAACATGATAATCTCTCTTTAACATGCTCATCTCCCATTAACATGCTAATCTCCCATTAACATGCTCATCTCTCTTTAACATGCTAATCTCTCTTTAACATGCTAATCTCTCTTTAACATGCTAATCTCTCTTTAACATGCTAATCTCGCTTTAACATGCTAATCTCTCTTTAACATGCTCATCTCTCTTTAACATGCTAATCTCTCTTTAACATGCTAATCTTGCTTTAACATGCTAATCTCTCTTTAACATGCTCATCTCTCTGTAACATGCTCATCTCGCTTTAACATGCTAATCTCTCTTTAACATGCTAATCTCCCATTAACATGCTAATCTCCCATTAACATGCTAATCTCTCTTTAACATGCTCATCTCTCTTTAACATGCTCATCTCGCTTTAACATGCTAATCTCTCTTTAACATGCTAATCTCTCTTTAACATGCTAATCTCGCTTTAACATGCTAATCTCTCTTTAACATGCTAATCTCTCTTTAACATGCTAATCTCCCATTAACATGCTCATCTCGCTTTAACATGCTAATCTCTTTTTAACATGCTAATCTCTCTTTAACATGCTAATCTCCCATTAACATGCTCATCTCGCTTTAACATGCTAATCTCTCTTTAACATGCTCATCTCTCTTTAACATGCTCATCTCGCTTTAACATGCTAATCTCCCATTAACATGCTAATCTCCCATTAACATGCTAATCTCTCTTTAACATGCTAATCTCTCTTTAACATGCTCATCTCGCTTTAACATGCTAATTTATCTTTAACATGCGAATCTCGCTTTAACATGCTAATCTTCCATTAACATGCTAATCTCGCTTTAACATGCTAATCTCCCATTAACATGCTAATCTCTCTTTAACACGCTCATCTCCCATTAACATGCTTATCCCACATTAACATGCTAATCTCTTGATTTGAAGCTTTCGTGACTGCAGGAATCCATACTCTTTGGTTCTTTCGGTAAAGTCACGTTATACCTACGTGACTTTACCGAAATAACCTAAGAGTATGCTAATCTCTCTTTAACATGCTAATTTTCACCTGGCAGCGCTTTGATTGGTGGAAAACCAACCATCGTCGGGTTGGCTGCCCACTACTTACATTATCATTGGCTGCTGACATTTGGGCTACGACCACTTCAAACCCTTATAAACATACTCTCTGGTTCTTTCGGTAAAGTGACGTAGATAGAAAAAAAACCACGATGTTTCGGTCGCAACACCAGCGTCCGTCTTCAGATGTGTTGTGGCTTTATATAGGCACGGGAGAGGAGAGGGAAGGGGGGGGGAAGGAGTTTGTCTGTGGGAGTTCACAGGGGAGAGGGGAAGGGTTTGTGGCGTGCATGGATGGGTGGGGCTAGAGAAATTAGCAAGTAGATGGACTTGTAGTACAAGTCGTAATCGGACCAAGACAACCGGGTGGGTGAGTGAAAATCATAGCAATTAAAACTTGACGCGGTTTATCACATCCTTCCAATGATTGCTCAATCTGAATCTATCTTCTCGATTAAAGTTTTGTCTGTGTTTGTATTTCTGGATGGATTCATGAACAAATCTCTGAAGGTGGCCCGAGGGTTTGCAGAGCACCTTGGTCTCGGAGAAAACAATGTCCCGTGTGCCCACAGTGTTGGCTCTGCCGTGTTTTAAATCCGCTTTGTGTTTGCGAACCCGGTCTGAGACACGTCGCTTCGTTTCACCAATGTAACAGTTTGCCTTGGAAGCTAACCCCCCTTTTCCTGAAGGCGACCGCTTGTGTTGAGATCGAAACGTCGTAGTTTTTTGTTATTTTTATTTGTTATTTTCTTTGAACCTATCTACGTGATTTTGCCGAAAGACTCAAGAATATACATATCTGCAGTTTGGTGAATGTGAATGCCCAGTACAGGTTCAGATATCACTCGCCACTTACGTTAGCCACGGCGAGGGATCAAACTCAGGCCTTTGGCCGAGTCCTCCAACTGCTGCGCCACCGCTCCACCACGCTTTTATCCCAACGTAGTGGCTTACACTCCATTGCCTGACGAGCACCCCTTGAGCCACCTGATCCTCCCCTCTTGTCTCCTTCCTCCTAAGGTGGAGGAGATTAAGAAGATGAAGGTTGGCGACCCGCTGGATCGGTCCACGGACCACGGCCCTCAGAACCACCGTGCGCACATGGAGAAGCTGGTGGAGTACTGCGAGGTGGGGGTCAAGGAGGGGGCCACGTTGGTGCACGGGGGGCGGCAGGTTCCTCGACCAGGTGACGTCCGTCTCCCGACCCCAACCCCTGACCCCTTGTTACCACACAACTACACGGTTACCACACCTTACACTGTTACCACACATTACACTGTTACCACACATTACACGGCTACCACACATTACACGGTTACCACACAGCTTATTCTATAGGAAAGTCATCGCAGTGTTAGACATGGCTCAATGTTGCTTCCGTAAAGTTAGACATTTGCACAGCGATGGAATTAAGAGAGCACTGAAGGCATATTAGACACGTCTCAGAAATATTTTGTTTTTATTCCCATGCCACCGTGCCATGTAAGCCTGTTTGTAATCTCCGAAACACCGACCAACGCTTGCTAAAATGTCTGCCTGTCATTTTAAAGTACCTTACTGTGGTTTTTTTACTCACGAGTGTCAGAAACGATGACTCAAAAGTCCGTTAGACATAGGTCAACAGCCTGCTTGCTCTATTGCCAATTGCAGAAGAGGGAATTTAAGTTTAAAGGAAAATGCAACCCAAGGAAATCCAAAATGGCCACTTGTAGTTATTTACCGATTCTGCGTTTCCCATTGCGAAGCTTCATTAATGAGAACAAAAATAAACTCTGAAGTCATGATCCCGTGTGCCACCACAGGGTCCGCCGGTGATGTCGCCGAATTTAAATATATTAGAGTGATATCACCGACGTGGTTCGAGTGCATGCCACACCGCGGCCACAAGATGTTTAGTTTCTCAATAACATCGCTTCAGACTCGCGCCGAACAACACAATCTACGATGAAACTATGCACAAGGGTCATTTGTATTTGGGTTGGATCGTCCTTGAACCGATACGGGGTCATTCCTCCCAGTGTCCCCTAATGGCATGTTTATGCTCCACAGGGGCCCATTATATTCATGCGTTCATGGTCAATACCAAAGAAGATAAATATTCCTCTTGAGCGTAATACACACAGCATGCCCGGGAGGTATTGTCCGTTTAAGGATTATAAATATGCAGCAGATTGGACGGTGTGGCTGAAGGTTGGTGTTAGATTGAAAACTAATTTCTTTAGAACTGCTTTTTGTGTTTAGCTTGTTGTCCTCACACACCTCCGATTAGCACGGTTGGCTACGTAAGGTGCGAAAGAAGTTCAACATACGTACAGTTCAATATACGTGGGTGTTGTGTGAGAGATTATACTGTTTACAAAAAAACAATGAACAGCTTTAATTGATCTTCAAAAGTACATTCCGGGAGCATTCAAAGCAATCACCACTTTGGAAAAAACCCGAGATGTTGTAAAGCATCTAGGATTTTTTCGGATCTCAGAAGGATGTGCGTCACCAATACCACGGCAGCCAGTGCTTGAAATGTCACCTATTATATACTGTTGTTTTTTAAGGTATTGTTATTGACGAATGTGTTGTTAATTTCGGTTATTTGTGTGTGGCAGGACTGCCAACGCAACATCACCAAGTAAACGGAACTCTACATTTAGAGCTGTGAAAGCTGTTGCTATTATTAAACTTAACCGTCCAATTATTTTTTTCCACCAGGGTATTCAATTGGAAGGTGCTAATAATTGTTTTTTTTATATAAACACACTGAACTAGATATTTTATGGTTACTAAAGTTTGACAAAGTTTCAAGTAAACTATGCTGCCATAATTGGTGTGGTATTTAAAATTAAAATCTACTTTGTAAATGCAGTCTACATTCATCAAAAGAATATATTTGGAAAGTTTGCACGTTCATATTCTGATCGTGGGTCGACTCAACCCATCATCTTCTGTGGGTTGATGGAATGAATACCAATTTGTGAGAATTTTACTTTGTTTGTATTGGTTGGATGGATTGCCGTATGAATGCGGAATTTCCACCACTGGCTCAGGGCTGGAAACAGAGGTGAACACCACTGAACATTATTTTTACTTGGTGTAAACCTTGGCTTCTTTAATAGTACGAGCTGCCATATTTGTGTATTCTTAAATGTTTTCGAACAATATTTGCAAAACTGCTGGCTGGCATTGACATGTTCTTCAGCGCAGGGTCAGTCTGATCACTGAGAATTTAAGAAAATGCTTTGCCCTTTCCCAAACGCGCAGAATGTAGGGCACTGCAATCTGTCTTGCTTTGTACAGTACATTTCTGATAGCCCTGGGATGTGTAGTTGTGTGCTCTAAGCCACATTGTCATTGGACACCTTATCAGAAGTATTTGCAAACGTAGATCAAACCAGCCTTACAACAGTAATAATATAATCCATTTGTTTAATTCTTACTGAGTCTCAAGACTTTTTAAAGAGGGTCCTGCTTATGAACTGTTCTCAGAAACGGGATCACTCTGAGGAAACCCAAACTGACTAGGAAGACAATGAGGGTTGCCATGCTATACATTTTCACACAACGATAGAATTTATATTGTTGGGATGATTATTTTAAAATATCAATTTCACCTAACTTGAAATCGCAGATCAAGTAATAATTTTGCTATCATTTTTTGTGCTTGCCATACTTCCAGTCCAAAAAATACTGAAAGCTTATTCAACTACAGTTCACTGAACATGCCATAGGTATCTCTAACTGTCGATACTTTATAATCTATAACAGTTATAATGCAGATGCTGTTGGTTACATGATAAATAATTAAAGTAGTACATTAACTATGAAAATTATGATGTCGTATAACCACCATTCCATCAGTCATTCCAGACGTGTAACTTTGCGAAGTGCTAATTTAATAGGTAATGGCTATAAATTCACAACTTTTAAGTACTTTGCTTCTTTAGTTTACGAATATATTTTTTAAATAAGAAAATGATATATGAAATAAAATAAACAATGGTAAACGTTTCTTAATCCACCCCCTACCCCCGCCTCTAGTAGGTCAAATGCCCTCTGGGGGGATTCTCAAGAATTACCACGGATGGAGGCCCTTTCCACAAAGTGCTTGCCACAAATGAACCACAATACCTCGCTGATCTCGTGAAGGAGCATAAACCATCACGCAAACTCCGGTCATCCTTACAGCAGCGGCTTTTGGCTAGCCATCGAACAAACACGGTCGCTGTGTATGCCATCGTGCGCTTTGGGATGCGCTTATGCGGCCGTCTGGAACATTCTTCCTTCTGATTTTAGGAAGCCACTGGAGCTAGATTGAAAACTAATTTCTTTAGAACTTCTTTTTGTGTTTTCATTTGTTGTCCTTCCCCCGCACCTTCGATTAGCAAAGTTGGCTACGTACGGTGCGAATGAAGTTCAACATACTTACTTCCAGCAACAGTGGTATATGCATAGAGGGCTGCACATTTATTTACCTTTTATATAAACACAGACTCTGCTGTGGCATGTGGTGAGCAGGGTTTTTCATGGAGCCGTCTGTCTTCACGGGTGTGGAGGACCACATGTACATCGCTCAGGAGGAGTCCTTCGGGCCCATCATGGTCATCTCCAAGTTCCCTGATGGGTAAGGTCAAAGTGACCACCAATACATTGTCCAGAGTTCAAATCCAGGCAGCAGCAGCAGAGTTTCAGGAGAACTCCTCCGCAGTCCCTGTTACCGGCAGGAGCTGTAGGATAGATGAAAACTTATCTTTACAGGGTGGCTCCCGTTCACCGCTGAACCTCGGAATAAGCAAGCGGCTAATGCAATTTTTTACTGAGTGTTTCTCACCGCAGAGAACTGTAGCAACACGACCGCACTCTATGATAGCTGGTGCCAAACTGTGCCACACGTCCTTCCGCATGGCCTTGTGGGACCCTCGGTTACACCTTCTGACCTGAAGACGTACTGATAAAGTTATTTTATTTAGTCTGCATTCTGAAAAACTGATGACATACGCGTACGTCATCGGAATGGCAAATACCAACACATGCACGTGTCCATGTATCGGTATTTGCCCGTGCATGCGTTGGTTCACGTCTGTGCATCCGTCCGTACACACCACCGGCACGCTCCGCTGTCGGCAGGGATATTGACGGGGTCCTCGCGCGCGCCAACAACACGGAGTTCGGCCTGGCGTCCGGCGTGTTCACGCGCGACATCTCCAAGGCGCTGTACGTGAGCGATCAGCTCGAGGCCGGCACCGTCTTCATTAACACCTACAACAAGACCGACGTGGCCGCCCCCTTTGGGGGCTTCAAGCAGTCCGGCTTTGGGAAGGACCTTGGTGAGTGGCCCGACAGGGAGATGATGTCTCGGGACGTTTGTAAACGGACGTCTGGTCGCATCCGATGAAGCCTCGATCGTAACCAATCGCGACATATATTATCGCTCGTGGTCCACCGTGAAACCGCATCCATGCAAACCGTGGCAGATGCGGATACCTGATCCACAAATGGAACATTTAAAAAAGCTCTCCAGTGTGCGACTGTGGTCACCCAGAACCGACCGTACAACGTATGACGACGCAATCCCCAATCCACAAATATGAAGGAGACATCACGGCGATAGACTCCGCTGCTCCCGCTGCGGTTATCTGGCTTGACAACCTGAATGTTGCTCTGCATCTACATCAGCTATACGAAAGAAGATTATCATCATCATCAGAAGCATCATATTAGACATCATTATCCAATTAAGCATCATCCAGTTAAGCAACATGAATGCAAATGATGATCATGCATTTTATTTATAACTCGGAATCGAATTAATCATCATCCAATTAGGTATATCATTATGCCTATCTTATATATAAAGCAGCAAATCATTGAACAAATATCAATCATCATAATCATCCAATAGACAATTGGTATGATCCATTCACAGTTCTCTGCTGCATAAGTATCTCGTTGCAGGACTCTCCTGTTACAATTTGTCATGAGACTAAGTAATTGTTTTTCTGTATTGAGGATATGATTATTATGACACAATCACGTGACCATCCTCCTGTTCAGCTGTAATACATGTACATACTATCTTGCAACCCGAGTTTCATCACTCCAGATCGCCATTCATTCCAATGTTGCTGAACTTTTGAGGCCAATCTGTGAAGTCAACAGAGAGACTGTCCCTGCCATTATAATACAGAATTCCCACCAGCCTCAGGACCTTCAATGGCGATGCGTAACACATTTTTTGTTCATTCATACACAAAGATGCTTGGACATTTTTTCTTTTATCCCTTTGGAATGTTTATAACAAAAACAAAAAGTGTTCTCTGCCGCAGAAATTGCACTCGCTTACGTATGCCTTTGTTAATGTTGTAGTATCGATTACAATTATTTTCTCTATTGAAGTGTATGTAATAAATTCCTGCATTTATTTATTTATTCATGACGCGCCTATTGTTTCCCCCCCCCCCCCCACCAGGTGAGGAAGCGCTTAACGAGTACCTTCGAACAAAGGCGGTAACTGTGGAGTACTAAGCTTACCAAAACGCGACAAGGGACGCCACATTTAAAGGGAACGGAACAGTGAACTCTATGCACAAAACAAATAAATCACGTCTGAAATTGGCATGGAGGTGGTGTTTGGGGCTGGGTGAAGAGCCTACAAGCACCTGGCGAGGCATGCCGGACCCTGTCCAACACGACAATCGGAGTCATCACCTTTTGTCGAGGGACTGCGTCAAAGTACCATCTCGCGCTGTCAAGTCATGCCCGTGCCGCCCGTGTCTGTTTGCCAAGCTACCCGCCAGCTCTCCTTCCTTGTGGGTGGAACAAACCAACGTGTACATTTTATATTTTTTTGAAATTCCATCAGCTGTTGTATTGTCCCAGCTTGCTCTCTTTGGCCAGTCTCGTCTGTAAAGTTTGTGATGTTTTTTTTTTTACGTGTGCCATGCTCAGTCGCTGGTTGTTTGTTGGGTTTTCGATTCTGGGTTTTTGTTCTTGAAGAAGATAAAAAGTCAGTGCCAGGAATTAAATTTGTCTATAAAATAAAACAATTGCTAACCTAGCACTTCTCACAGCCTGGGTTCGAATGAAAAGGTTTTGCCCACCATCGCAGCTTAAGCAACAAATCAATCAAATGCTTCCACCTGCGAACCTTCTCAATATGAACTCTCATCTCCGACATTTAGAGCAGCCTAGACCCAGTTTGTCTATCGCAGAGAGGGGGATTTTTGGTAATGCAGTGATACTGTGGATTGAATGCCTGCAGTATGACTGCAATATAGCTTAATTGGGACAGAAATAAAAAAATAGACGTATAAAATATATCAATGCACAGTCATTAATATGCATTTACAAACCATGTCTAGGACTTTTGGCTATGTACGGTGCTAAATAAGTTCAACATACATGCATAGGCTGCTCTCATCGTTGGAGGTGAGAGTGAATATTGAGTGGGTAGCAGATGGAAGGATTTATTGATTTGTTGATGAAGCTAAACTTGTCAAATTGGTATCTATGCATTGTTCGATTAAAATATTGTACCTCGCTACACTCGTGGTACATTAATCAAAATTGGCTGTGGGAATTGAGATTTGACAATGTATGCAAATTACATGTACATATTCAAATTATTAATTTAAGCAAACTGGGTGGAATAAATCTGTATGGATGACAAAGAATACACAGTCATACAAAGAAGATGGTATACATGAAAGACGAATAATTATCAATTATTCAATCCAAAGGTGACTTCAAATGGTGTCGCTGGGTTAGGGTGACTTGTCACGTGCCCAGTTATCAGCAGGTTTCCATTTCTGTGCACTTTACTGACACTTGTCTATCGAATATTTAATGAAGGAAGAGTGCTGAAAGGCATTGGTCGCATATGAGGGGGCAGTGTTTTCTATTCGCACAGGAACATCCTCAACGGGGACCACTCAAAAGTTCCAATGTCTCCCTTTTAATATGAGAGATGCCACACCTACCATCTCCTCTGGCCTCCCTGAGCCAGAGGTGGAATTTCCTCCACTCCCACAAACAGTTGCCAGTCTCCCTGTGGGATAATTACCGCTGTTAATTTCACGCAAAGTGGTTCTTATTTTAAAGTCCATGGAGGGATGAATTGCTGAACTCTCAAACTTATGATTGTGAGTAAATCATTATTATTGTGTTAAGACATTGATGGTGGCTATAAGCTCTTTAGTCCAAAAATGGTTGCTAAAGTTTGGTGCTAGAGCTATGGCTTAAATCAGGGGTGGGGAACGTCCGGCTCACGGGCCGTATAAGGCCCGCAAAATCATTTGGTGTGGCCCTGCCAAGGCAACCGCAGGCGGGACTCGAAATTCAATAAATCTAGGAGCGAACCTGGAAAAGCAGTTGCGAGTAGCAACAACATCGTCAATACCGGCTAACATCATCACACGCCTCGCCAAAGAGAAGCAGTTCCAGCCATCGCATTAGGGGCGAGTTCATTAAATGTTTGACCAAATATAACAGGCAAATTTTTAAGTTGATCATTTTGTATGGCCCGCGAATGATGTTATAAATATCCAAATGGCCCTTGGCAGTAAAAGGTTCCCCACCCCTGGCTTAAATGAATGATCCTCATTTAAAATCAAACCACTTTGGTGCAATACTTAAAAAAAGGCCAAGTGGTAAGCAAGTGTGTGGCTGCGCCTCATCTCCGTAACCCTGCGCCAATGCTGACAATTCCACGTTCCTATCCCTGTTGAGGAGTTCATGTTAACGAGGGGCAGGGGGAAGGTTCAGCCAGGGCCACTCAGAGGTTGCTCGGGGCCCGGTGCAGAATTTCACTTGAAGGATTCTCAATTTCACTTCGGCAGGGCTGTTGTGGTGCCCTATGTGCGAGTTCTGGGTAAATTGCCCCTGTTTGAACCACCAGCCACCCCACCTCTGAGCGGTCCTGGGTTCTGCTGCGTTGTGGCATTAAACTGACGTATGTATGTAGAACGCCTTTCGCACCGTATGTAGCCATCGCAGGTGCGGGGGGAACGACAACAAACTAAACGAAACAAGCAGGTCTAAAAAAAAGTTTTAAATTCAGATTATTTAAAAGGGCATAACTCAAGTGGCTTCCTAATAACGGATAGAAGAGCGTTCCAGACGGCCGCAGAAGCGCGTCTGAAAGCGCGCGACGCGGTGACCGTCTTTGTTCGGCGTGTCACATGAGAACAAACTCCGCACGTATGAATTGACTTGACTCTTGCAAAGAAATATAAATAACAAATAAAGTAAAAAATGGTGCATCAAGGCTACTGTTGCAGAATAAATCTGCATGTCCACTGCAAGGCTGGGTTGGTCGACATTCACCTTCACGATGGGCTTGAACAGCGATCTGCAAAAACGCGGCACCAGAGTGGCGTGCGGCTCTTTAACGACTGGCCTCGTGACGTTATTTATTAAGGACCATCACCCGTCCCGTATTCACATTGCATCTCGGATTTTGAAATGTTGAGGTTTTTTTTGTTTACGGAATTCGAACCAAAAAAAAATCTCTTGTTATTTTGTTTGCCGACTCCCTGGGGGCATCATCACTCAAAACGGCCAATGGAAGCAAGTTTCGGAGCACGGCACTTGCTCGTGAGTAGCAGTGCCACGCTGTGGTGAATTTTGTCCGCACTCTTTCGTTGGACAATCCCCCAACTGGCCCTGCACCCAAAATTAAGAGCTGCGATTGATTCCTCGAGCTCCGACAAACCTCTTCATAATCCATACCTGTCAACTACTTATCAGTGCCCTACCTTATTACAGACCAATTCAGACCTCATTGGTCATCCCGTGCCCTTATAAATCTCAGCGTTCATTCTACAAAGTCACCATCACAAGGGAGAAACACAAACACATAGACAAAAAAAGTGTTTTTGCCCGTATTGAAACGGCTGTACGCCGCATGGACCTGAAAACTAAATTTCCCTGTACAAGAATACGGATAAACCGTATGGGTTGACAGATATGATAATTACTGTGTATTAAACAAACGCTGTTATTCTAAGTGTGCATGCACTCGCTCACATGTGTACGTCTGCCTATATTTATTGTTGGCACATTTCCTCCAGTCGTAGAACATTACACAACCTAAGGCCGAAAACCCAACGTATTTATGAAGTATGTTGAGATGGAGTGGTAATGAATGGTTCTTGTAGGGCAGATAATATATACATTTAAAATGGAAACGTTTTTGAAAAAAGCAAAGCTTATGGCAAGAAAATTGATATTTCTATATTGTACCTTTTAGTACAGCTATGTAGCATCCCATCGATGGCACGGTATTTTAACATCAAAATAAAACAAGACTTTAGTTTTTAAGTAATCCGGCGGTCCATAGTAGCATGTGTGTCACCCATGAAGTGTTTCAAATGAAAATAAATTTATTTTAGCTCATACTTGCCAATGGTTTTCCCTTTGTTCACGTGCTGAGTCTGCTTTCTGGCTGTATCGTTCACTGTTCATTTCGATCGTCAACAAACGAACGTTGTTGATTATTTCTTAGATTTTTTTTTAAACAATAGTGGTCCATCAACAATGCACATGGACACCTGACGTTCAGAGTCTGATGGGTCCGTGTAAAAATCTAATTTCATGGGGTGTGCCCATCTCCATTGCCAACGCCTGAAGGCAAACTCGAGATGCCATCGTGACCAAAGCCACCGATGATGCCACCATACGTTACCCATTACATTACCGCTCGCTCAAACACTTAATAATCTAACCGGTTGCTAACCGGTGCCAGTGGCCTCTCAGGCTTGCTCATCTTGCCTTTCACGTATAGCTAGCGTCACACTCAAAATCCCAGACACACCCCGAACAGCTGATCCAGACGTGGAAATCCCACATTCTGATGGTAGAATCCGGCTCTCTACACTATTGTTGATTTCAGTTTAACACGTAGGCTTTCGCGACCAATATTATTCATAATAAAGGTTTTTGGGTTAGATCGCGTTTATTTATAAATGTGTCGTAACCCTCCACCACCCGACACGGCCAATCAGCAAAGAAAAGTGTCACGTTGACAAAAGACAAATAATTCACTACTTCAGCCCACCGGTGTGTTGAAGAGTTAATCCACATTTACAGTTTGAGTACGACGTTTCGCTGGTAAATACTTCCAGCATCATCGGGCAATTCGCCAGAATGGTAAAGCCCTCGCTTGCTCCCATAATTTAACCCCAGCTGAGATTTGTGCTCGTGACCTTCCGATTGGGAAATGAGGGCTCAATATCAAAGCATGGGGGTGGTGTGTCGATGTATGCCGAGTATACGCCATGTGCTGTATATGTACACTGAGGGAAAAAAAGTATTTGATCCCCTGCTGATTTTGTACGTTTGCCCACTGACAAAGAAATTATCAATATATAATTTGAATGGTAGGTTTATTTGAACAGTGAGAGACAGAATAACAAAATCCAGAAAAACGAATGTCAAAAATGTTATAAATTGATTTGCATTTTAATGAGGGAAATAAGTATTTGACCCCCTCTCAATCAGAAAGATTTCTGGCTCTCAGGTGTCTTTTATACAGGTAACGAGCTGAGATTAGGAGCACACTCTTAAAGGAAGTGCTCCTAATATCAGCTTGTTACCTGTATAAAAGGCACCTGTCCACAGAAGCAATTAATCAATCAGATTCCAAACTCTCCATCATGGCCAAGACCAAAGAGCTCTCCAAGGATGTCAGGGACAAGATTGTAGACCTACACAAGGCTGGAATGGGCTACAAGACCATTGCCAAGCAGCTTGGTGAGAAGGTGACAACAGTTGGTGCGATTATTCGCAAATGGAAGAAACACAAGAGAACTGTCAATCTCCCTCGGCCTGGGGCTCCATGTAAGATCTCACCTCGTGGAGTTGCAATGATCATGAGAACGGTGAGGAATCAGCCCAGAACTACACGGGAAGATCTTGTCAATGATCTCAAGGCAGCTGGGACCATATTCACTAAGAAAACAATTGGTAATACACTACGCCGTGAAGGACTGCAATCCTGCAGCGCCCGCAAGGTCCCCCTGCTCAAGAAAATACATATACATGCCCGTCTGAAGTTTGCCAATGAACATCTGAATGATTCAGAGGACAACTGGGTGAAAGTGTTGTGGTCAGATGAGACCAAAATGGAGCTCTTTGGCATCAACTCAACTCGCCGTGTTTGGAGCAGGAGGAATGCTGCCTATGACCCCAAGAACACCATCCCCACCGTCAAACATGGAGGTGGAAACATTATGCTTTGGGGGTGTTTTTCTAAGGGGACAGGACAACTTCACCGCATCGAAGGGACGATGGACGGGGCCATGTACCGTCAAATCTTGGGTGAGAACCTCCTTCCCTCAGGGCATTGAAAATGGGTCGTGGATGGGTATTCCAGCATGACAATGACCCAAAACACACGGCCAAGGCAACAAAGAAGTGGCTCAAGAAGAAGCACATTAAGGGTCTGGAGTGGCCTAGCCAGTCTCCAGACCTTAATCCCATAGAAAATCTGTGGAGGGAGCTGAAAGTTCGAGTTGCTAAACGTCAGCCTCGAATCCTTAATAACTTGGAGAAGATCTGCAAAGAGGAGTGGGACAAACTCCCTCTTGAGATGTGTGCAAACCTGGTGGCCAACTACAAGAAACGTCTGACCTCTGTGATTGCCAACAAGGGTTTTGCCACCAAGTACTAAGTCATGTTTTGCAGAGGGGTCAAATACTTATTTCCCTCATT